TTGAGTCAAGATTACTATATTTTAAATCACCCTGATATGAAAAAGATCAGAGGGAAATTGGTGTTACCTCTTTACCTCCCACTTCCGGGTACATGTCGATTACGTAAGATACCCGATAATAGACTGTTTGTACCGCTAATCAAATGTTAATAAATAGGAATAATCCAGATTTAATGTAAAACACTTACAAGTTCTTTACTTGATTCTCTAGGTCTCTCGTCCATACTGTTTAAGTTTCCTCACTAAGTTAGCTTGATCATGTGACGTCTTACATTGTATCAGTTCATCGAAACAGGTGAGAAATTTATAAATAAATAACTAATGTGTGCAACATATTTTTTGTACACTTATGGAATTTTAAATTACTAAATATAGAATTATACACCTTGATATCTCTTCTACTATTCGTTGACAATTTACCAATGACTTCTGATTTAATGAGTGTTGCGTGCTAAACGTTTAGTGGCAAATTATTAATATTTTATGCATATTTAAAAGTACGATTTTTCATATACAAGTTATACTATAGGAAGGTAAACCGTCCGGATAAAAGGTAGAACATTTCGATTACCACTGGAATTTGAGGGTATGTTTGAAACTAATAGCATCAACCCTGTCCTCTTTCCTCGAATGTTTAATGAGTAACATGACGGGTGACACTAGTGAAGAAGGACTGAACTGCTTAGCTATTCTGGAGCTCCAGAAGACCCACCCCTTCCCACCAAACCGGACAAATTCCAGACAAACTTGGCCACAATCATTCATAGTGTATATGGTTTGTGGATTGGCTACAGATATAACAAGATTCCACAAAACACTACAAAATTAGACAATTATATATGTTATTCAATTTAACCCACATGTATAATTGTCTATCTTACAAACTGTTATAGCATGTATAGATAAAAAAAAAAAGTGACTGGGAAAAATGATCAAATGACGAGATTGAACTTCTGTTTATTTCGAACAAGAATTCAAGATAACTCCTTAAGGGTGGTATTGTCCTTAAAGACAATTTGTGTAATTTGTTTGAGTTTTGATCATTATCTTGAAAACTATATTAAAAAGAGAGAAACTTTAGAAAGTGAACACGATAAGCAAGAAAAGATCAACAGTTACCGGTAAGTCAAATGGCCGATTCGCCAGTCGATGGCAAACAATAATTAAGAAAATTTAGATAACCAACATAAATATTTTAAAAAGTAAGAGCAGCTCGACGTATTAGTCAAAATGACCGATTGCGAAATGCTATATTAAAATTATTGCCTTATAAAACGATTTTAAAACTTTTTTGCCTTTTTTTTTTTTTTTTTGGCTATCATCTCGAGAACCATTTAAAATAGAAAATTTTCATTGCAAAAATAACAAGCATGACCAGATTTACAAGTAATCCAGCAAGTTCAATATTTTATAAGAGTAAGTAACCGTAATTGAAAGTTGTTTTAACATGTTTGCGTTTTGCGTTGGAACTCTAGGAAATAGACAGAAACTGAAACGCCAAAATAACATCTACAAATAAAAAAAATGATTGAAATTGTCAATCCACAGTGATTGATATCTGATAACCAATAATGGATAGACTAAAACTTTAATCAGCAAAACTCATTAGCAGCACAAAATTCACAAATAAGTCACGTGATCTAAATGAGTTGTTGCCCTTAATTCACAATGTTAATTCTTTTTTTTTTTAATTTTGCCTATAACGGATATCCAAAAGCAAAAATGATAAAGTCAGTAATGTCCACTGAAAAATATTTAATGCAGATTCATGACAAGTGAAAATGATAAATAAATTATTTTGGTAGGTTCTGCATATTGAGTCGATCGGAATGTCGGGCGGGAATTTCTGCAGCCAATGAAAAACTAGAGTTTTTTTGTTCGGAGCAGAAATTTAGCATTGCAATAAACTACATTCGAACCCTTAAAAGACCTGCTTTAATGTTAAGGCTTTTTTAACGTGCACAGTCATCGCAATTGACATTTATATTGAAATAGGACGTGGCTTTGTATCTTGACAAATAACGGACTCACCTTTTGTGCAGATTACTGTAAGGTGGAAAAAGTCTAGGTGAATGTTTTCCTATATCCCCTATGTATGGCAGATAAGGCGGTCTTATAGCTACGACACCAAAACTGTACGTCAAGGTATTATGTAAATTGCATGGATTAGTAACTGCAATAAATAAGCTTTCTCTTGGAAGCATTCCATCACCTCTGCACAATTAACTGTAATGAAAAAGTTCCTGTGCTGATTACGTTAAGCAGTCCGGACGGTCGAAATGATAAAGTTACATCTGTAACTTATACATGTATTGACTATTGACGAAGTGAGTGTGCCGATTTTTTTTTTTCTTTTTTTTTTTTGAATTGGAAGACCAATCAATCTTAATAGATTTTAAAATATTACAAGTTTCACTTCAAACTTTCTGCGGAATAGAAATATATCGCCTGGATTTTTATTGTCCCGTGCTGAACTTTGTCTGTATTGGATTAAACAATACACAGTCAAGTCGGAATGTAAATGCTTAATCCGATGCTGGGAACTTGTTTTGCTCCCTTCGCAGCATAAAACATTCAGGGTCCAAGTTTACCTATTGCTAGGCTTAATTACTGCCACTACATCATACATGCATGTGTAACCTCAGGAGTACATAGTGAGATCGGAATAGATTTAATAAACTAAAAGACGCACCAAAATCCAGCAATTTGAATAAATTTCAGTTTAGCAATTGCTGTGGTAGCCAAGCTACTGCATGGTCGTGAAAGTTGTCACTAGATATTGACTTAAAATCGCGTATCGGATAATGCCTTAATATCAGATGCACCGGAGCTCACTCTATAGAGCGAATATGAAATATAGATTGATAATTCTTATATGATTTCCATATGAGGGAATACGTTGATATGATTGGTCGAGAAGACTTCCGGTAGTTGTTCTTGACGTTGTTTATTTTTCGATAGACGACGTTGACCGAACTTCTTTTTGTAACCAATGTAAACAAGATGGCGGCGATAATAACACAATCTGGCTCGAAGTTAAAAAGAATTATTTTCACTTCGCGTTAATCGTTTTACTAAATGATAAACACAAAACATTCATTTGAATGATAATAAGAGTTTTTGTAGTTTATTTTTTATCAGATAGTAAATTTCATGGAGTACATATTTTTGCTTTAACCAACAAATATATTCATGCGCCAGGCCAATTCAATGACACAAATATACAATTTACATGTGATAGAGGTTACGAGTGTAAAAAAATTAATTCCTTATCTCCAATTTTAAAGAATTATAATGATTAAACGCCTTTTTAAAGGAATTCATAGGTGTATAAACTCGACCAATTCACTCACAAACATAAAGGCGTTTAATCCTATATTATTACTGCCATTGCATGTTAGTATATTAACTTCTTCCTTGCTTTCAAATATGGGTGTTTGAGCGTTCCTGATGAAGGTGAATCTGGAAAAGCGCTTCGGACACACAAAATAAAGTGTAATTTCCATAATTATTATCTTTTTTAACAGAATTTAGTATATTACCTTGAGTTCATGTTACACAAATCCAATGGACTAATTTGTGTATAAGTATAAAATTAAGGAGATGTGGTATACTTGCGAGGAGAAAGCTTTTTACTGTGTACTGACCAAATTACGTAGATGTAAGAAACTTAAGGTCACCGTACATATATGGTCATTGGACTTCTCCTCTCTGGTATGAAAAGCCACGACGGAGGAGTGATTGGGCACCGATTTGAATGCGCGAGATGCTTAAATATGTAGCCGGTTGGAATAGGGTGTTTTATTTGATGCATAGTGTAGGGTGTATGTACGACCTTCTTTGCGTGCATTGTGAAAACCGTACAACAACTCACTGGGCTGTTCGAAGGTTACAGGTTGTAAGGCACCATATGTGCTATTTACATTCAACATACCTTATTTGCCAGCGTCAGTCTTTTTTTCCCGACTTTCGTCCCCGTTGACACACTTACATTTATCTGGTCTGTATGTAAATCCATTCTCTTCCTGTATTTATATATGCATGAAAAGTTTGCAACTAAACATTTTCCTAACAACAATCAATCCAAATGTTAAGTTAATATAAAATTAAAACTAATATAATATGTATTACTGTATTATTTTTGATACTTTTTTGGTATATATTTACACCAAGTTTAATGATTATAGGTCACATAATTGACCACATTTCATCCCGTTGTGATTTAACACAAAATAATGCCCCCCCCCCCCCTGAAATATTGTCCGCGGACACTTTTTCATAATGAAATACTATCCAGGACAATATTCAGTTATGAAACAGTGTCCTTGTCAATGAAATGTTGTCACCTCCTTGTATTGAAATGTAAAATGTAGGCCAGACTGATAGCTTATTCATGATATTCTGTTCTTTTCTCCTCGATACATACGCACACCAAGTAATAATGTGATAGATCAAATGGAATCTTTTTAGCAAGTAATATTTTGAAGTTTGATTAAAGAAATTAAAGCTGGGAAAATCATTATACATGAGTCCTTTTACTTTCATCTTGGGGAGACAGTTAACCATATGTCATTTAATCTTCATGTTTTGACATTAATCTCAAAGATACATCTTCATACACATTTATGGCTGTATGTCAATAAATTTCAGAGAACTGACAATACGTACCAAAGCAACAGAAAAATGATTTAGTTTTCAATTAAGAGTTTTCTTGCCAACTTTCTATAAAAATAGTAAGTGGCATTAAATTAATTGAATAAAAAAAGGTCATCGCCAGACGAAAAAAAGAAAAGATGTACCACAATCATTACAATTATGAAGAGCGCCAACTTTAAGCAAAACAAAACGTCAATTCTAAGTTGTTCTAACAAGTTAAGCATTCGTTTCCCTACTCCATATACAACACGCTCATGATAAAATCAGGGACAAAACCGAGAGGAAGGAATTATGACTTTGAGACAGGCCAAGAGATCAAGGCACGCTTCCTTTAAAACAACTGATTTGTGATTAATTTTATTTTTTCTTGCCATATTTATCTGGAAATAACACTGCCAAAACTCCAATCTGTTTTGATTGAAATAAAACACTCTCAAAGTGATCAAGGTCAAAACTTTGTTTGCGTATTATAATGCCCAACAGATCACGATTAGCATTTTCTCTGTCAATTTGGAAAAGTTTTCCTACTCTGTCGCAATCGTTGTGACTTATGCAATCTGATTCATATAAAAGATCCAACAAAGGAACTGGGTCTATCATTTTGATTAAGATAACATAATTCTTCTGTATAACTTTTTCAAGAGACTTCTCAGTACTAATTTTAGAATTTGTTGGATATTGACCCGATGATTGAGTTTCACGCAGTATTTTCTTTAAGGATTGAATTTCTAACTTTAATTCTTGAAATTGAGATTGTTGCATGGCCTCTTTACCGGTTTCACGGTTAACGATTGTTTCTTCAATTGACAGCAGTCTTGAATTTAAATCTTCTATTTTGTTATGCAGCAATGCGATATTTTCTCCTGATGGCAATGTTTCATTGTTGCGGATTCCAGATTCCACCGTGTTGTTTATATTCGAATCATTGTTGACCGTGACAAGAGAAAAATCGATATTTCTGGATTCCATATCTGAGTTAAAATCATCCGTGTGAATCGATATATTCTCAGCGTCATGTCTTATAGATTCTAGCATTTTTTTACTGCGAACATACTCTGAGTTGGGAGGAACGACAATGGCGTCGATTACGTTCAGATCTTCAGTAGAACGATTTTGTAACATGAGGACGTCTTCGTTTTTTCTTTGGTTTGTTTTACTTTTGTATTGATCATTTTCTGCAGAACGATTCCATAACTGCGTATCGTCATCGCGGTTGTCTTGTTTCGTTTCACTTTTGCGTTGAACATTTTCGGCAGATGGTGGAAAGTCTACGCGGTTGTTAAGTTTTGTTTTACTTTTGCAATGAAGTTTTATTCTGCAAAGTTCGAAAATGCAATATATATGTTCGTTATTTGTTTCTTTATTAAGTGTCCCTTTTTCGTAGTTGATTTGGACAGTTCCGTTGTCCGATAGTCCAATCTGAATTTCGTTTTTGCATTTCTTTGGAAATTCATCGAAATGAATGACAGGAAGTGACGTAATATCATAATAGATATCATTTCCTGACATAATGTCAATTGGATTAGACTGTGATATTGCTATTTTAATACTGAAATTTCTTGAAGGTTTACCATCTCTTAAAATGGGATCAATCTGAAAGTTTAAAGCTTCCATTCGCCTGATAGGAGTTCCAACAAAGCATACGGCACATGGGTTTGGAGATTTTAAATTCGCCCATGTGTCATAATGCTCGAGTTTTATGTTTCCTCCACTTTCTTTTGAAAAATTGTAACCTTCTGTCTCTGAAAATAGAAAAGTAATTAGGATTTAATGTACCACTGAGACCTAATAGAAATACAGAACATTCTACATGTTTTCCACCACAAGACTCGTGAACAGTATTAGAATTAATAAGAGTTTACAATAAGCCTAGTTCATTAATTACATTGTGGGAACGGAACTGTACAGGGTTTTTTTCAATGTTTTGGTCATTCAAAAGACTGTCAAGCGGGGCTCGGCCATTCTAAATGGAAGGTTTGGTGTACACACATGTAACTGTATAAAGTTTCTGCTTTAAGATTTGGTACCGAAAACATTTTCTACATGAACATATATGCCAATAAAATAACCAAAAACGACTTATGCACCCAAATGTTTTCCTAAGAATGATGGATCTCCGAGTAGATCGATCAAAACTGTCACACAACAGCGACAAAAAATGCCAGAAAAATCTATCGTTGTTAGTTGAATTTTCACATATTCCTTTTCTGATATATAGTCTTACCTCTCTGAAAGTTCAAAAGCCATTGTCCCAGTAGAAATTTAATCATATTCATTATCTCAATTTCGTATATTTTATTGACTATACAGTTGCGTTTACTGTACAATCACTTGGGCCTTTACTGTACAATTGTAAGGCCAAATTCAGGATATATAAGTGATCTAACAGTTGTCTTGATTTGTTTGACTCTTAATCAAATGATTCAAATATTCCTAATTAACACTGACTTCTCACGGATATGATCGATTTAAGGTTAATTTGATGGCAAAAATTTAACTAAAATAATTTTTTAGTCATTTTTCTTTGATGTTGTAGCTTTAAGTATAAACAAATATTATTTGAAAATAATGACATGCAAAATATGAAAGCATTAATAAACAGAAGGATTCGGTAACAAAATTGTCCATTTATTAATCCGTCTCCTGACAAAAGAAAAGGAGGAAATAACTGCTATTTAAAGAGTTTATTTTTATTTTCACTTTTGAACCCATTTGTTTGCTGCGTTTTGTGATGCAGAATATTCACTTTCATCCTGTCTCTTTCCAGACCAAAAAACTTACAGTTCCGTTCTAACACTTTGTTTATTCGTTCGGCATATGTTTATAGTCCATGATAAGTATGAGTAAAAGCAGAAATGTGGTATATATATCAATGATCTCGATTTTCCCCTAGCTTTTCGATTTATTGATTAAGTGATTGTTGCTTGCTTAACGTCTCGTATATAGCATATATTTAATACATATTCAGGACGAAAACAATTCAAGAATCAATAAAATTGGTAGGCCAACTGAAGTTAATTTCTAAAACCAATAACCCTTTTTGATGAAAATTGTATTATGAGAAAAGTCATGCTTTACTGGACCAAATATATATAGTTGTACGATACGTTTTTCCTTTTTGGTTAAAAATTGTACGTATTGATAATATGTTTCCCTTCTCATCCTCAAGTATATAGTATATGATTTCTAAGGTATATATTTGAAGACAGGTTTGACAGAGGTGATATTGACCTTTGATCTTTTACTTTTATCAAGGTCACATTTCAAGGTGTCGACGTTGAAGACAATATGACCCTTCAATAGTTTCAGATGTCATTCCATAACAAGGTTTCTAATTACGACTTACGGTTATCGATTTTTGACGTTTAACAGAGTCTGTTCAGATTTCATGCAGAGACAACACTTATAAGAAGTCGTCGAAATGTCAGTAATGGTCAAAATATAATGAAGTTTTTCAACAAAAGAGAGGGTGTGTTAGATACGGACAGAAATTGAATCTAAAGTACACAGAGCATGACACTCTCCCAACACGAGGTGTCGAATTTAACGTCCCCATTTCGACCAGACATTGCAACGTTTATATACACCCCCACAGCCAATGGACGACCCTTCAGCATACTTCCGACTGACGAACGGGATAAGGTAAGGTTACCTACCATATGTCTTTACCAAAAAAACCCCAGCTGATTGGGGAATGTTAATTGACCGCATGTGTATAGAATTTAAAAAAAAATATGATTGTATAAAGTATCATCAAAGGTTTAAAAAAGACCGTCAATCTTTAATCGATTTGATTGTCTAAATACATAAGCCAATCGTATTGTCGTAAAAAGAAAAAACTGATATACGAAGTATGACGTATGTTGCTCTACAGATTACTCACCTATTTCTACTTCCAGATCTCCGAATATAATATTAACAGTAACCCATACTTTATCGGTCCTTCCAACTTTAATGCTAGAAGTTTTGTCTGCTTCTGTTATAATTTTCCTCCCGCAGGATGATCGTTTTATGTTGGCAGTACCCGTTTGTTTGTAGATTCTTGCACTTTGTATGACCGTCAGTTCTCTCATATTTTCCACTTTGCTGATGTCGGATATAGAGGCAGGATCTTTGGTGAGTATTCCAACTTCGGCATGCCCCTTGCCATCAAACGACATCTTAAGTTCTGCCTCGGGAGCTATTGGTTTGTCTATGAAGACGCGGCCCCCGGAGACGACACTGTTCCATCTAGCTGTTTGGCCATCAACAATGACATTCCGACCGCAGTGAGATGAAAATGAGCATTCGGGGTCCTAAAATAAAACAACAGATTTCCTTATGATTCTTTTGATTTCCTTTTTTCAAATTTCCATACACTCTTTAGTTTATATGAAGCCAACCCGATAGATTGTGAATTGAGCCCTTACAGTTAGGCCAAAAATAAAATTAAAATTGTTTGATGCTGCCCAACCCACCCAAAAAGTAGTCGACCCGTAAAAAAAATTATGAGACAAATCGTTTCAAATTTTTTTTAAAAGAAATGTTCCTGCCTTAATGCCGTTTTCTTGTCTTAAACATGTTTAGTCTAGTCAATTTAGTGAACAACCTGCAACTAATTGCAACACAAAGTTTTTCTCTAAAAAACAAGTCTGTTACTATCTATGAACAACATACTAAAACTATACAAAAATATATTTTGCGGAAAGTGGTGTAATTCATGTAAATATTTTGTAGTAAAAGTAAGGTTATATGAGTTGCTTCCCCTTATTTGCCAAAGTTGAAAAAAATAAATGTATACAAAAAATGTTCTGTATTTTTTAAAACACTTTGTAGTAATACAATACAATACATAATTATCTCAATTCAAAAGAATAATATTACAAATGCATCACTTTCCTGTCTCAAAATTTGTATATTTGAATAAAGATATAGACCGAGATTGTGTTCTGCTATTTTACAATCCAAGAATCTAATTCTCCATCACAGTGTTGGAAAGAAACCTATAAATGGAAAACTGTACTGAGATAGATTAGCCAACTTAGTCACAATCCTACTCGGTATTTGAAAGAATTCTGCCCCAGTGTTAAAGGCTGCCGGACAGTTAATTTTTAGATGGGGGTCGGAGGTGTTTTCGAAAAACATGTTTTGTCCTTTATGATAAAACATTTTTTTTTTCATTTTCCTTCTGGAACAAACATGTTAAGATTTAGAATTCAACATTTTTTTTTTCATAAAAAAAAATAAGAATGATAAGTGTTAAATAATTGTATGTTAAATATTTTTTCACACATGAAAATTTCAGGCTCCTCGAAGCAAATAGCTACTCATGTAATTAGCGACGATCTCAGTACTCACACACCAGCTTTGGCTGTAACAATGAATCCACTTTTCACTGGTTGCTAATCGGATGTGTACTGATTTATATTTTAGTCGGTGCCAACAGTATTTATTCATCAACTGTAATTAGCTTTGAACTAGCTATTGGAACTCGGTGTCATTTTGTTAATTGGTTATATACTCCGTGCTGATCTTTTTGAGTCGAGCCCTTTCAAACTGAGTTTTACAATGTGTTCTTATGTTGTTTGCTATTTCAAAACTGTTCCTGATTATGGGAGGGCTGAGTGCTCGCAAACATGGTTAACCCTGCACACTATGAATATTATCATCACAAGTAAGTTGCCCTTTATTACTTGGTGGTTATTGTTTGCTGTCGATCATATTTGTTTTTCCATTTATTGGCTTAACAGTTTTATAATTTAAACGATGAGCTATTGTAGTTGTTAATATCCACACCCACATCATTGTTATCTCTTGTGGAAAGTTTTCTCATTGGCAATCATACAACATCTTCTAATGTTTTTAAAGTGGGGAGATTTTACAATTATAAATTATGGTTTCACTGGCAATTAGTGATCAAACATAGTACTACCAAGAGATCACTGAAAGAGTTTAGTGGACCTTAAAAGCTAAACATTAATATTCTTTAGGCATGAGGTGTATTTCTTTAAATATTTTTTTAGTTTTGTTCAAATGAGTTGAATACAGTTCAGCACATTCCGGAAGCAGAAAACCGCGTCTTTAACATTGATATTAATTTATATAATAGAATATAATTATGAATAAAGAGAGATTTGATGTTTTTAAAGTCAACGAGAAAGCAAACCAAACGACTAACAAAAACCAACAGACATACTTTCAGATTAGATATGACTATCTAATCGCTATCTCTGACCATAAGTCGCCCACTTTTTTACAGTTCTTAGGCTAAAGCTGATTACCTTTTATTTAATTAATTCAATGAGATATCTTAAAGAAGGAACTTGGTAATGCTTTTCTTTATATATATATACGTGTGCATGTAAAACAAATTTCGTGGTAGAGGGGTCTAAATACAGCACAAACAACAATTTCCAAAAGACCAAAAAAAGTGAAAAAGTCTATTTTAACAAAACGCATTTGACTAACAGGTCGAACAACTGATGTTCTTAAACCCTGCTGACTGCCATTGGCGATTGCCAAATAAATTGATCACCAGATCTAACAAAATGGATCTTAATATTAATTTAATACCAAACAGAAAACAATAAACTTGTGGAAAAGATGGTATACCACAAACATGAGGTGCAAAAATTTGTACACCATATCCGGATTTCGACAATTAACTTTGACCATAATATTTTCATACAGCAGACAACCCATGTTAGTTCTTTGTCATTATCATTTGATTAATGTTTCAGACCACCACATACAGGTTTACAGGGTACACACATAAGGCGCTGTAACTATTAACACTTTCTGCAGGAAGTGATCCCATCAATTCATTCAACAGTGCTTATCTCATTTTCAACATCCAAAATCTGACCACTTTGGTACAAGCAATATGTAAATTCAAGCTCTTGAGGTAAACTTATAATTATATTGACAAAGCTTCCCTTGAAACTGCCTTAAACAATATCAGATCTACATTTCATTCTTATTCAGTGAACTAGTGTATGTTCCCAAATTTAAAAAGCTTATATCTGAAATTAAACGTGGATATTGATATAGCTTGCTAAATAAAATTGGTCCGTGTTGAACTGCGACTTTATGCAATTCAAATGTTGAAAAAACATACAAAAAAGGACTACAATCAATGACGATGCAAGGACACTTAGAAAAATAACTCTTCCAGCAATTTTTGTTTATTATACCTACACGTATAATTACTATAAATACATAACAGAAACATAAGATAAAAATTTCAAACTTCCACAAAATGCACTTCTTTAAAACTGAGTTTTACTGTGTGTTTATTTATTCTACATTGTCTAGAGAAACTAGGGGAGGGTTGAGTTCTCACACAACATGTTTTACCCCAGTCACATAATTATTGCACCTATCCCAAGTCAGGAACCTCTAGCCTTTGTTTGTCTTGTGTGTTTTTTTTTATAATTTTGGTTTATTTGTATGTATTGGAGTTTCAAGGGGGGGGGGTCCATTTCGCTGAACTAGTATACACAATAATTAAGGGGTCAGCTGAAGCCCACCTCCGTGTGCCGGATTTACTTGCTATGTTAAAGAGATATAAGAAGATGTGGTATGAGTGCCAATGAGACAACTCTCCATCCAAGTCAAAATTTATAAAAGTAAACCATTATAGGTCACAGTACGGTCAACACGGAGCCTTGGCTCACACCGAACAGTAAGCTTTAAAGGGCCCCAAATTACTAGTGTAAAACCATTCAAACGGGAAAACCAACGGTCTAATCTATATAAAAAACGAGAAACGAGAAACACTTATGAACCACATCAACAAACGACAACTACTGAACATCAGATTCCTGACTTAGGACAGGTGCAAACAAATGCAGCGGGTTTTAAAGTTTTAATGGTACCAAACCTTCACCCTTTTTCTGATACAATAGTGTAAAATCACAACATAGAAAGACACACTATAAAATATCAACTGAAATAGCTTAACTCAATCAAAGGACATATTTAACACCATTGAACATACACTGAACAAATAAATTTGACCTATGATACAATGTAAATACAAAATAAATAAACTAAGGGAAGAATAATAAAAGTAACATGTTATATCGGTATGAAATGTTAAACGATTAAAGAAAAACAATCTGCTCGAACAAAAATATCAGCCGTTTGCAATAACTTTAAACACAGGTAAATGAAAATAATTTTGTTGTAAAGACCCATTATAGTGGTCTTGTTTTCTTTTTGACACATTCCCTGTTTCCATCCTCCATTTTCGTTTTAAAAATCAAACTGGAAAAAACCAAGATTTTAAAATTTTCATTTATTATACCCCTCACATAGGGGTATTAATTATGTTTTTAGGGTCTGTGTGTCCATTTGTTCGTCTGTCTGTCCCGTTTCGATTAAAGTTTTTTGTTCAATGTTTTTGGTCAAGGTAGTTTTTGATGAAGTTGAAGTCCAATCAACTTAAAACTTAGTACACATGCTTCCTATGATATTAACTTTCTAATTTTAATGGCAAATTAGAGTTTTGACCCCAATTTCACGGTCCTCTGGACATAGAAAATGATACTGCGGGTGGGGCATCCGTGTACTATGGACACATTCTTGTTTTGTAATTAGTTCGTAAAACAAAATATTTCACACAACTAATTGATTATTTTTGATATCGATAACAAGAGGAATACATATGCATATAAACATAAGATAATCAACAAATTGATTATTATTGATAACGATAACAAGCAATCTTATTAAAATATAGAACTCAGATTTCGTTATACTGCATACGAATGCAGTATAACGAAATCCGAGTTCTATATTTTAATTAGATTGGATAACAAGAGGAATAAATATGCATATAAAAAGAAGATAATCAACAAATTGATTATAATTATTGATATCGATAACAAGAGGAATACATATGCATATAAACATAAGATAATATAGTCTGTCTATAAAGATCCTATGTTAAAAGTTTTAACCATGAATAACCGAGCTTTTTATTTCCATTTATCACAATTTTTAAACTATAAATCACACATTTTACACAAGAATTACAATTTTTTTTAAAATACTAACTACTATAGGATTCCTTAAGATAAATATCAGATAGTATTTTCTATTTTCTATTTAAATCCCAATTCGAAAGTTTTAACCATCAATAACCGATATTTTTTTTCATTTCCAGTTAGTGGGTTTTCTGTCTTAAAACATATATTCAACCAAAATTACCCAAATATTAATATTGATAACTAAAGGAATTCACCAAATAAACATAAAATAGTATGTTACTTTTTCTATATAGATCAAATTTCAAAAATATTAACCATTAACA